GCCTTCACCCATTCGGGGTCTTCTAGTCCCGCGGTTGTTGAAGGTTTAAATTTGCCCATAACAATCTTGTAGGATTTTCCCTAGGGGTCGTTGTTCACATCGTTTAATAGGGCCTTCCAGCATTTTGTTTTGCTTCTTTTAATCTCCGATTTTAGTTTTTTGCGGTCCGTCTTGTAATTTTCCCTCTGCAGAACGTCCGTTTTAGCTCTTGTTGTAAATCTTCTAGCTTTAACACATCCTTGACGAAGGTCTGCAATAGTCGCTGTCCACCAATTCACCTGATTTCCCCCCTTTGAGTTCCTACGTCTAGGCATTGAGATGTCACATGTATTTTTAACGGTTTCGCACGTTTCCCGTGCTACCTCTTCGAGGGACTCTGCTTTTTTCCTATTACTCCACCTCATGGACTTCAGTAATTTAGCTTCGTCAAGGAATTTTATGGCATCAGCTTCTTTGCTTTTTGGCGTTCCAAGATGGACCGATGTTTGGCTGATTCCTTCTTCTAGCTCTGTTTCCAGCTGATGAAGTGGAGAATTCAATGTAGCGGTGATCGCTAAGTGTTTCAGCGTCGAGAACCTGCCAATCCAGGACATTCTTGGCAATCCTTGTGGTTTCTATTGTTAAGTCTATTATCGAAGAAGCTGTGCCCCTTTGAAATGTACATGAGCTCCCTGTGTTTAGGACTACCAGATCCTTCCTAGCTAGGAATTCGCAATGTCGCCTCTGCAATCAGTTCTGCTTTCGCGGGGACTTGCTGTTAAAGTCTCCAGTCAATATTATTTCACCTGGAGCTGAGTGCATGCTTGCCTCCAGTTCATCGATTTGCTTCTTCGGTATTTTGGGGAGAAATAGCAACTATATATTCTAAGTATGTCCATTTCTACCCATACAAAACCTTGGTTTGTAACTTTAAATTTAGAGACTCTTACTTTGGATTTAAGTATTATAATTCCTGCACATCAGGTTGTGTCTTGGTAGAGGGATATGTCGCCAATATCGTGCTGCTCACTGACCAGTAAGACATCTACCTGTCTTTCCCTTGCCGTTTTAATGAGAAGATCTTGGGAGGTCTTACCTTTGCCTAAATTAATTTGAAGGAACCTAGGCATTCATTGTTTTACCGTGTTTCCTTAGTTATGCAGTGAAGGAAGGGCATTTATAGCTACCCAGCTTATGATTGTCTTCTAGGTGTTGGTCTTTGCAGACAATACATTGAACTGGCCCTCTGCAGTCCTTGGCAAAGTGTCCTTTTTTGCCACACTTGTAGCATACTTCACTTCTGTCGGGGCCCTTGCAAGAGGTGGAGATATGGCCAAAGCCTAGACATTTAAAGCATCTGCTGACCTGGTGCTTCATCCTAACGTGGCAAGTAAGCCAGCCAATCTCAAAATTATCTGCTTTGAGTAGAATTTCTGCCTGGCGCGAAGAGAGCAGTGCAGTCGCTATCTGTCTGCCTCCGTACACATTGTATAGTCTCCAGGTCGCCGGGGAGAAGTCCCCCGTAATGCGTGTAACAGCATCTCTTACCTCATCTAGGGTAACAGACTCATCTATGTTCTTTAATTCAATTAAGGTTTTTGGGTTAAACGTATTGATGTTTAACCTGACTCCTATTGCACGGGCGATTGCTTCGTTTAGGGAAGTGGGGTCACAATCTTTCTCCAGGACTATCAAGAGTTCATTTTTACGTGTCCTCCTGATCGTCTGGATATTGTTGTTGGAGCGTTGTGTTGCTTTGGGTCAACCGCTTCCTTCATTATTTTTAATATTTCGGCATATGATTGCCCTTCGTTGGCTGTCAGTTTGATGGCCTGGTTGGTGGGTCTTCCAGTTTCCTTGCCTTGGGAGGTTTGATTGCCTTTTTTGGTGGAACTCGTCCCTTTTTCTTCACCGTCTTCGCTGGTTCCACTTTCTGCCAGTTCTCATCGGATTTTGGTTTGGTTTTTCAATAACCAACTCTATGACTTTCATCCTGCTTGACTTTCTTGTCTGGCCTCTTGTCTTCGAAGTGGACTTGGAGCTTGTCTCTTCTTCTTCTGGACTGTGCCGTTTTCACCAACTTCTCGTTTTCTGTTTTGCCGGTTTGGTATTCTCGGCCTTTTTGTCATTCTCTAGGAGGATTATTTTCTCATACATCCCCTTTTGGTCTTCTTGAATGTTTCCCACCTATTCTTTACTATAACTGGGTTGTTTTTCAGGATGTTGCTGCTGCTGATAATTAATTGACTCTGTAGACGGGCATTAATCTCCGAATTGTCTTCCATCAACTTTTGAGTCATCACCCAGTTATTTGATGTCCAGTCCCACGCATTACTAACCCCTGCCGACGTGGGCTCTTGTTGGACCAGGGTTGCCTTGTCTCCTGTGGGTACACCAGTTGTCGTGGGGGTACTTGGAGGTGATATCCGATTTTTTGTCTTCCCAGAAAAGGGGTTAAAACCTTGCTCTATGCTTTCGCTTGTCGCAGTATAGTATTTCAGAGACGCCAAGCGTTCCACGTCTCTGAGATTGCAATCACTGGTTGACGACCTCCGGGGGCCTGCTTGCCCAACCCCGGCTGACGGTAATGGGGCTCCGATCCCCTGCACCGTAACGGTTGATCCTGAGGGACCTTCCATCGTGGGTTTCTTTTCGAGGTCACCTTCCCCTAACGTTTTTTCGCTGTCGTCAGCGTCTGGATTTCGTCCACGGTTGGTATTTTATTTCCCTCCTACCCTCCGGCGTGGCCGGTAAGAACATTCCCCGATCCGCCACCTGGGGACGCATCCGATAGGAGTACAGGTACTCCCACGGAATTACATTGTATTATTATTATTATTATTATTATTATTATTATTATTATTATTATTATTATTATTATTATTATCGTGGTTAGTAACCACAATAAAACATGAAATCGATTAATACAGTTGTATCAACTATAATTTCAATTCATTTATCGACTGAAATACTTTTAATTGATTTTAAAGATTCAGTCAGATTAGTTTCTAGATGACAGAGATTTTACACACTGCTTAAACTTCGGCTTTAATAACGTGGCTCGTCAAGCCCATCTTCACGATTTCACGTCTCTCGGTCGTCCCCATCGTACCATTGTACCTCTAGACGTTGTTGTACTACGACGCACCATTTTATAAACACTGAAGTATATTAATGTCGTATTTATTATGTGCATAAGAAATTACAAAGAAATCAGATGAACATAGAATATCATTAATGTATATTAGAAATAGCGAAGGTCCAAGATCCTTGTGGCACATTGTGATTATTGTATCAAAATTTAACTTTGTTAAGAAATTTTCAGATTGTTAGAAAATCTCTGTACATTGCTTATGATCTGTGAGGTGTAATGAGGTTATACCCGCCACCCTTTATAATTATATAATTTTGTCAGCAGTTTTTCGTGAAATGCCTTCGAAAAATAAATAAATATACCTGCTTTTTTCTTATTTCATTCCAAATTTCCAATGATTTCGTGTACGAATTCCACAACAGCAGTGGTGGTAGAGCAGTCCTTCCTGAAGCCATGTTGTGATTTATGAAGGATATTATTAGATTCATATAAACAATTAAGTCTTACTAATATACCTTTTTCATTGACTTTGCCTAATACTGAAGTTAGGGTTATAGATCTGTAATTCCTAACATCTTGTGTATTATTACTCTTAGCAGGTGGTCTTGCAATACAAATTTTTAAGTATTCTAGGAAAGTGAATACAGGTACATGAATTTATTAAGTAAACTAGTATGTTAAGTTCAAGTAAACTAATTTATTAAGAAAAGCAGGTTTACATTTTTTAAGAGTTACTGAAAATATATAACATTACGTGACGAGCAACTATTTTTGAAAGAATTTATCAGTTTACTAACTTTAGTAGCATTCATGTGATGGGGAAACAAAGATATTGAAGTTCCAGAAGATAAAGGATTATTAGTGTAGCTGGTTAGTGTTCTGCTTTGAATTTTAGAAATGACTGAGAAAGGTCCTACAAATATCAGGAGGATTATCAGGATACATGCCATGTGTATGTTTTTGTGAGTCTGAGCTATCCCACTGTTAATTATATTCCACAATGCTTTAGATTTGTTTGTTGAGTTGTTGAGTTTGATTCAATTGATAAGCTTTCTCATTCATCAGTTTTAGCCTATATTGTTTTTATACCGTGTATACTTCTCATTACAAAATGGATTCTTAGAATCCCTGAACAGGTCATTCAAGTTTTTCATTTTATATCTATGAACAAGAATCTCATTAGGAAGCTTAATTTTGGGTTTCTTCACTTCATTAATTTGACTTTCAATAATGGGACATGCAATATTCAAATGATGCTCAATTATACTCAAGAACAAATTCCATTTTTCATTGATTTCATTATTATTGAGTATATTAATCCATTCCTTTTTTTAGAAGACATTCATTTAGCAAATTTAAATGATATCACAGGGAAATGTGTAGTTAGGTTCAAGGCTAATGGGGCAATTCATTATTGCAGGGATTTGTGTAGTGTGATCAAATAGATGGAAATCAATATTATGAGAAGAGTATTTATTTCAAAGATGTGGTCTGTGATAGAGCTGGAGTGGATTGTAACACGTGTTGGCTCTAACTCCACATCATGAATGAAATTCTTTAATAAATCATATAGTTCATTATGTTCAATATTAATGTTCAGATCTCCCCAAATAATTAACTTACAATTGTGATTTCCTAAGAGTTTAGTTAAAAGTTTTTCAAATCTGAGTAGAAAGTCATTATCACTAGAGTTTGGGGATCTATAACGGCACATGATTTTCATGTTCCCTTTCGTTGTGTTTACATCTACACCTGCTACCTCAAAAGTCATTTTGATACTCATATTTCTAATCCAGTCGATTGATTTGCCAAATAAATAATTCTACACTATTATTGCAATACCGCCACTTCTATTGAATACTTTACAGAAACAAGCATGAAGTTTAAAGTTGGAGAAGCAAATTTTATTAATTTCTTTATACTGAAGATCATGCTCAGTAATGACTCCTGCATGTATAAAGTTTCTTCTAGTATTGTCTCAAGATGTTCAACTTTGTTATAAAGGTACTATTGAATATTTTGGTGAAGTAGATTGAGGACACTACCTTTCTAAAAATTTCTTTTAAAGGTGTATTGTCTTAATTGCTGAAAGTCGAAAGGTGTCTTTTTCTCAAGTGTTTGCCTGATGTAAGAAGTAATGTGTGGTTGTTGTGGTGATGGAGTTGAAGCCACAATGGAAGCAATGGTTTGGGAAAGTTGACGAGATGTAGAAACCCCATTGGAAGTAAGGATTGGGAAGACTGACAAGGTCTATGAGAAGTGGCTAAAAAATGTGTAGGTGAGTTTAGGTGGAGGTGTCAGATTTGGGTGAGAGAGATGTCAGATTTGTATGTTGGTGTCATAGGAGGTGGAGAGATGAAAGGTGTGTGGAATGCAAAAATATTGTGTTTCTCTTTTATGAAAAAAATGCAGACCATGGTAAGTAACATTTGTTCTGTAAAAGGATTCAAGGGCTGTAACTTTAATTTGTGTTTCTAGCAAGGAATGTGATTTCCTTGTTGGTTCGGTGGATTTCAGTGTTGTGTTTTGTGGTGTCTTGAAAAAGAAAAAATATTTAGCCCACATTCTAGTAAAAAAAAGACCCTAATTTAATAATTAATCATTAATTAATAATTTAATAATGAGTTCAATAATTAAATTAATAATTAATTTAATAATATACAAATTAAAAATGAATTTAATAATTAGTATTAATCCATTGAGTAAATGCTGAGATGGCCCCTTGTTTTGTTTCTGGACGTAAATGTAACTCACTATGTGTCATCAGTAAATGGTCACCAAATGTCAGCTACTTTTGACAAGTGTGCATAACCAGACTAAGAATAGACCATGCAAGAATAACTTCTTCATACATGCTAAGAAATGAAGAACCACCCATCTGCAGCAGCGGAAGACTTCTGTCAGTGAAACATATTCTGACAGACTGTGTAGATCTCTTAGGACTTAATGACAGATGCGGCATGAGAGGCAACATGAAGCTAGACCTCAAAACCGAGAAGATGGCAACTGACAAAATAATAAAGTTCCTGAAAGAGGCCAATCTTTTTCAAATCAAAATTTAAACAATATCTTTTCTTCAAAATTAAATAGTGTATGATTAATTTTAACATCAATCAGTAAAAAGGCTAAAGGTCAGTTTCCAAGCCTTCAATTTAAAAAAGTTTAAAAAATAACAACAATAACAATTTTTTTCCAAAGAATTACATCGATACAGTATTCATCAGATGTTACTATTTACATAAAAAATTTAGAACAACAAAACAAGCTGAAAGAATACTATTTTTGCTTCACAACATTACATCATGTTAAACCTGTTAGCAAAAATACCTTTCTTATATTTTGTTTTATCTTGTACACTCCAAACCCTCTCTAAGTACTTTTTGTAATTGTCAGAGAATGGTGTGTTACTTTGTACTTTTGTTTAGCATTCTACCGTTGTTGACTATGGTTCACCCAATTATCGGTACTGTTTGCCAGTTGCTGTAAGCTGTGTGAACTGTTTCTAAAGAAATTCAGATTTTTTAGAGGAATAAATAGAAATTATGAGCCAAATGGCAACTAACATTAACATGAAGAAAATTGACAAATTGTCTGCATTACACATTGGTTAATGAATAAGCAATAACCATAAAAATTGAGACAATTAATGAAGTAAGTAATAACACACAATAACAAAAATGAGTCTTTACAGTGAACAATTAACAAATGACATAATTACAACTCAAATTATTAATAATTAATTATTTTGGCAGTTATCAAATATCATATATCAGATTATTAACAATTGACATAATACCAAATCGAATTATTACATTTTGTAGGTAATAAACATTGTATAGTTATATTGTAAAAGGGCAAATGGCAATAATTATTAATTGGTATATACAAAAAAAAATTAAAAAATTACAAATGAATTGTTATTAATATACAACACACAAAATGCACAGGCAAAAAAGAGATTGTGTTTGACCAAAGTTATAAATTGACATCAAATTATTTTTTTTTACTACTATACCAGTCTTTTAGTTTCTTTTCCAATTCTCTTTTCGATGTAACTTGTATCATTTCATCTGGCAGTGAATTGAGGAGTTTTGGAATAGCTGTTTTAAGCATTCTTTTTCCACCTTTATTAAAAGTCTCTGGTAATATGAAATTGTGTTTCTTTCTAGTTTCATAATTGTGCTCACTAATTTTTCTATATTCCCCATTGAAAAATTTTTTCTGTAAAATTTGAAATTCATGCAATTTTCTAACGGTAATGATTTCATGTGCTGCTGGACTCTCTTCCAGGGTTGGGATTGCTATGTTCATTTTATCATATCAAGGATTTTAATGCATTTGTTCTGCAAATTTTAAATGATACCTAGTTGGGTTTTTGATGCAGATCCCCATACTCCAATTCCATATCTGATCAGAGACTGTATTAATAAGAAGTAGACTAATTTAAAAATTTTACAATACAAAATATTTAATCCTCATTAGTTTTCACACATGTTCTTAATTTCTCGCTTAAATCCAAAATCTGCCCTTTCCAGCTCAGATTCTAATCAAAAGTTATGTCTAATACTTCAGTTTACTTACAGAATTCATTATACTGTTGCATTGATAGTTCTTTAAGTTTTTGTATATACAATCAGCTATGTGAAAAAATATTTTAACTTGTGTTCTTGCAAATTTTGGTGCTGTGATATGCAACATTTTAGTCTTGTCATTTATCATTTGTCATTTGCCCCTTTGTCGTGGCACCATTTTTGGGATAATCTAAATTTTTCCTGTAACTCTTTCTCTGTCTTCTTTTATCTTTGTTTATAGATAATAGCATCTTGTTATCGGCATATATGTAATAGGAACTGTTTTCTAGATAATTTTTTAAGTAATTCACAAATATTAGGTAGAGTATTGACCCAATGTAACTTCCTTGTGGAATTCCCCTTTTCACAGTTTTTGTTTCACTATAAGTGTTCTCGATTTTGACTCTAAATGATCCCCCTTCTATAGATATTTTTTGAATAACTGTAAAACATTACCTCTTTCTCCAATGCTTTCCAGTGCGACTAACATTTTATCATGGTTAATCACATCATACACTTTTGACAAGTCAATTTTTAATTCTATTACATGCAATCCCTTGTGTAATTTTTCATCAATTACCTCTACCAAATTTTCCAATAAGTCTATGGTGCTTTTATAGTTTTTTCATATATAAATTGATTTCTGTTTAATACTTGATATTTTTCCAGGAAGCTAGTTAATTTTTTTGTGTTATGAATTTTTCAAATACCTCATTTATTGTTTTTAATATAGAAATTGGCCTGTAGTTTTCATAGATTGAAAAACTTTCTACTTTATGAATAGGTCTGATTATGGATTCTTTGAATTTATCTGGAAAAGTTTCCTAATTAATGCTTAAGTTGATAATTTTCATTATAATTGTTGCTATTTCGTTACTGTTCAGTTTTATCTTTTATATTTATTTTGTCAATTCCTGGATCTATTACTGCCCATCCTTTTAATTAGTAAGTTAGTTTCCTCTAATATAATTAGATAATTATATGTTATCTCACATTCTCTTATGAACGGGATTCTATTTTTGCATTTTCTACTTACATCTATATGATTGATACATGAGCTTATTATATTGTCCTTTCTTATTTCAACCCTCGTATCCTTTTTAATGCAGTGCACCATTTGTGATCTTGCAAGTAATCCAGGTAATCAATTGTTGTTTTTTCTTCATTACAGATATCTATATACAGTCTCTGATTAGTAATTTCTTCACATTTTTATCTGAATTTAAAATTTTGTCTAATTCTAGTAAATTGAGAATTTTGCTTTTATTTGATGGTTTATAGACTACATATATACTTATTTTTATTTTCTTGTTTATTTCCAAGTTCCCCGCTAATACCACAAACTTACCAAATCGACAAGTTCAAATTTGTACATATCCTTTACAAATAGCATTATACCTCCCCCTTCTTTCTCTTCTCTTATTTTTATGTATCTATTAAAATTTTGCAAATGATATTCTAAAAGATCATTCTTCTTTTTGACACTAATGTCACTCATGATGATCACATATATTCACACATGACGATCACATATATATCACGTATATTTTGAACACAATCTCTTATTGCTCCACAAAATTCATCCCAGTTCTTTGTTTTGATCTAAAGTTTAGGTGAATAATATTTAACTTATTCTTATTTGAATTTATTAAACCTTTAATATCATTTATGTGATTGCAGATCATTGTTTCCCAAATAACATTACTATCTTCATTTTTTCTTATGAATATTCTACCATTTTTTTACCCCAGTGAATTTAAAATTTTTCTCTTTGGCCTTATTTTTGGTTTTCTTATTTTTGGTTTTGAGTTTTGAATTGTATTGCTGTAGGTTTTCATATACACACATACATTACATACACACACACACTAGTCCCTACTTTGTATTTTCTTCATTTTATTATTTATAATTTTGTCTCTTACTTTTTTCAAACTGAATTTTATAACAATTTTTGATTTTTGAATTCTTATCTTTTTTACCACAAAAATATCTCCTATTTCACTTTCACTGATTTTTTCCCAATACACTCCACTCAACAGTTTTGGAACATTTTTTTAACAAGATCCGAATTTTTCTATATTAATTCCCACAATTTCTATATTTCGGTCTAGAAGTTACTGTTCAAGTTTATTTACTTTGGAAGATTTAATCTTAGGAATTTATTATTATGGAATAATAATAATTATAATGATAGTGACAATAATAATAATAATAATTATAACAATAACAAAAACTAAGACATCAACAACAATGACAACAACATTAACAAAAACATAAACAACAACTATAACAATGATAAAGACAAGAATAATAATAAATAATATTATTAAAATAGCACATGATATTGATTATTTGGGCAACTACATATAATTTAACAATGTTAGTAGATTCTATGTTTAAATCGTGAAATAGTTAGGAGAGGGAGGCAGGTTTTGGCCACATTTTTTCTATTTGTACACCTAGAC